CTAGCCTATAATGCCTAGCATAGGGCTTGTTTTCGCGGTACCCTGACCATTAAAAATTAGCAGACCCACTGGTAAGTGTTAACGGCATTGGACTGCAGCGAAAAATGATTCCCCCATCATTAATGGAACATGCCCATGTCACGCTTGGCTGACTAGTTTTGAGTTACATTTCGCATGTCTTGTGTTGTTGTAAAATGTATTTCAAAACAGTCATGCTTGGCTGGTTTGACATGGACTTTTGCTGCTTATGGCACAGACACACAAAATGTAAATCAAAACTAGTCAGCCAAGCATGACGTGGGCCTGTTCCATTAATGATGGGGGAATAATTTTTCGCTGCAGTCCAATGCCGTGAACAACGCTTCCCAGTGCGTCTGCTAATTTTTAATGGTCAGGGTACCACGATCACAAGTTCAGGCCCGTTGGCAAAGGGTGGGGGGGGAGGGGGTGCAGAGGGTGCGGACGCACCCCCCCCCAATTCCAAAAGGTACACTTTTTGAAACCTATGATTTCACAAAATCGTTCCTAATTATCACAAAATGTTATAGCTTTGCCTTGCATTATATATTTGCCAGCGTATCTAACCGTTGATTTTTAACAATGTGGCATGAAACTTGTTAGAAATTGATCGTCTCCGGTGATTGCAGATTGATCTACATAATATGAAGAATGTTATCTATAGGCATGCAGATGTACAGGACAAAATAACATTACTTTTTCTGGTCCCAAAAACACCCAAATTAATGAAAATTTAAATGAAATATTCATGAATTATGTGTTTGAGAAATCTATTATGTAAGACCCTCAAAATGCTACTTTGACGCTTTTCTCACAAACCCCATCAAAGCCTCTGCCCCTGGACCACCCAATTTCAAACTTTTAAAAACCTATTATTTCACTAAAATCGTTCCCAATTATCGCGAAATGCTATAGAATGCATTACATTTTTTTGCCCGTTGATTTTTAATAATGTGCTGAAATCTGTTGGAAATTATCAGCTCCAGTGATTGCAGATTGATATCGATCTTGGTACAATGTAAACCTGTAATCATATGACTACTTATACAGAATTTTACTATATTATAGGTCTAGACTAGGACCAGCCCTCCTACTATAGTATAGAGGCCTAGTCCAAGACCTTGTTGCAAATCCCAGCCCACATAAGCCTAACCTATAATGCCAAGCATAGGGCTCGTGATCGCGGTACCCTGACCATTAAAAATTAGCAGACGCAACTGGGAAGCGTTAACGGCTGTCTCTTATACACATCTAGATGTGTATAAGAGACAGGCTTTAACCAACATTGCCCATAACTAAAATGAACAAGTCTAGTGCCATACGCAGCAAAAGTCCGTTTCTAGTGTTGTTGTCAAATGCATTTCATAACCAGGCTGGTTTTTGATTTACGTTTTGGAATAGAATTTGGAGAGGGCGTTTGATCAAGTCAGACTTACGTTTTGAATTTAAATTACATTTTAAAGAAATTAGAACTACATTTTTAAAAATTTGAACTACGTTTTGAAAAATTAGAACTTCATTTTGGGAAACTAGATCTAAATTTTGAGAAATTTACGCCTACGTTTTGATAAATTATACATTGAATTTTGCAATTACATTTTGATTTTAACATGGACTTTTGCTGCGTATAACAAAGATACTAGAAATACAAGATAGAGTTCTCCACACAAAAGAAGTGTTCCACCGTGTTCCACCGAAATGCATGGTGGGAATACGAAAAATGGGACGCCCCCTACAGCTGGATCTTAAAAAACTTGTGCCAAACTTTCGTTACCAAGTCGTCGCGTATTTTATTATCAATTCTCAACAAAGATACTAGATATAAAAACAAACTGGAATAGACACCCAGACAG